ACTCAGCAGTCTTTCAATGTTTTGGAGATCAGAGCTGCCCTTTTTCTCAGGCTGCAGTGGTTCCTGGTGAATGGATGAAACCTTTTGGCTAAGGACAGCGTGATGCTTCCTCACGTGAGGAGCAAGGTACGGTGGTATCATTTAAGAATTAAATGCCATAATACAAAGACTGAACCAGAAAACAAGTAAGACTTTCTGCAGTACGAGGCAACTAATTCCCATTGAAGAGCTTTACAAATCCTCAATTTTATTTTGACTTTCTGCTATATATAACCATTACACAATTTTTTTATTAACTTTTTTAAGGCAAGGTCTTGCTATGTTCTAAGGTGGCTTTGAACTTACCATCTTGCCTCAAACGTGAGATTCTCTCGCTCCAAACTTCTACAGTTCTGGGACTGTAATAGGCACGGGCCATGTCTCCTTGCTTTTTTTCATGCAAATTCACTGTTATTTTTTTTTTTTTTAATTAAACTTTAAACTGCAACTCCTTCTATTCTCAGCCGCTAAAAATGAAACTCCACGTTTTATTGACCACAAACTGCCAAATGCATCTCTATGCCCTGCCGGAGCTGAGTGGTTCTAAGAGAAATACTTGACTCTGTTGAGCCCTGGTGAAAATTTGAACGTCAATGTGTCCTGGAAACAAGTCTGTGGGGTGTGCTGAAAGAAGTACAAAACTGAGAATCCTTTCCAAGGGGAATCCAGAAATCCTTTACTTGACCATTACACTCTTCAGGAACTTATCACTTTCAAATGATGACAGAAAATCAGTGAGAAAGTTCCCTTTAGTCGAGCAATGACAAAGAAAACATCGCGGCAGTCTCGGTGCGCTCCGGGGGTGTGGCCGGCACAGCACGCTGGGGTGGAACCCTGGCCCCTGCGCTCTGCCCAAGCAGGCGCTTTCGTTCGCTGAGCTATCTGGCCGGCACTCCGTAACAGTCTTTCAATGTTTTGGAAATCAGAGCTGCCCTTTTTCTCAGGCTGCACTTGTTCCTGGTGGATGGAACCTGTCCTGGTGGTAGCTGCTCTGAGCCCTGGGTCCATGCCAAGTAGTTTTTCTAGTAGCCTTCAAGGTTTCACTAGATACATGTGTGTCCACCTAGCTTGGGGGGGGGTGCATGAGTTTTAGTGTTCTAATCATTATGGCTGGAAGATTTCCTGTAGGAAGGTAAGTTGCTATTCTGTAGCATTTCCAGTGGAAGATAACAGATGAGGGGTGGGAACACACCGTGAGGACGTCCTGGGGTTTCATGAGGATGACCCTCACCTCACAGAAGACAGGCACAGAGGTGGACGGAAGGTGAAGAAAGATTTAGGGAGCAGCCTAGACTCCAGAGTTGGATAGGGTTGGACAGCTTGGCTTCCACTATTCAGCTTTCTGGAATTCAGCAAACAGCCTCTCAAACTACAGTTTTCTTCTTTACAGAATCAGCTTATAAACATTTTCTTTCTCACATATTGATGGCCAAGAGTATATGAGAGAATAGATGTTAATTCTAACAACAGTATATATTATTGTGGAGATGAGAAAGAAATCCTTCTTCATTTATTTAAAAATCTTGTATTGCATGCAGGACTCTGAGGGTATCAGCTTCTGTATGCTAGTCCATCCTACTGTGTCTTGTTCCATGCAATATAAATAT